AAAGCTGAAATGAGGCTTGCAAGATTACCTACGAAATTGGACTGACAAGGAGTGTGGCCCAAATTGGGTCTGTCTTTAAGCTTATATTCCTCTTGTGCCAATCAGCCCTTAACATGCATGGATTGTATCGAATGTGATCTCTTGCTACCTTAACCTACAGAACACACAAACATAGGTAAGTGACTCGAAATAAAGAGAAACTAAACAAAATTACTAAGTCACGAAGGCATGCAAATGTGTGAAATTATGAACTTATCATCGTCATGTTGACCTACCTAGGGGCCTAGCCTTTCGTTAATATTGGTCCTTGAACTCAATCTAGATGAGAGACTTCGTCTGCTCTGAGTGTGGCTAGCAGATGCTTGCGACATGTCGGCAAGCTGATCACGTTATTGTCCATCTCCTTGTAGGCTTACTCCTGCTCGACCTGCTTGGTACCCATCGTTCGTCCAGCCTTCTCTCTTCGCCCTGTTGTCCAAGGCCAAGGTTTTGAGCCAAGTTTATTGGATTGAGGAGCTGCCTCATCAAATTGTTTTGGTCATCCATTCTCTGAGTTAGCTGGTCAACTCTCAGATTGAGGTATACTTGACTTCGTGGATCGGGAGGAGAGTATTGTGTGGAGCCCAATTTCACACGAGCTAGGGTTTCATTGGATGTGTACGCGGGAGCGTATGTCAAGTGCGGAGGTAATGGAGGGAATGCTTGAAGTTGCTCCAAGATTGGGCCTAAGTCGGTGGTGGTCGTAAGCCCACCCTAATGGGAGGTTCCACCATGTTTGGCGACGACGGTATAAAGGTGGCTAGATCCAGCCACGGGGCCTTGAGAAGGTACGACGATGGCAGAGGCCGGTGCGATGGTCCCAGCTGTGGGTCCGGCAGGTGACACGGTGGTTCCAGCCACACGGGGTGGTTGCTGTGGTACGGCAGCAAGGGTTTGCTGCTGGTTCACAGCGGCGAGTGGTGGAGGTGCCACCATGTTGATCGTGGGATCGTAGGAGGAGTGACTTTGGGCCATCACGAATCGAGCCATCGCGGCGGTCTTGCTCCTCGTGCACTTGCTTCCAACCATGGTTGTTTGGACAGCTTCGGTGAATTGGAAAATAGGTGGAACGGATTCCTTGAGCACGCGTTGAGTATAACTCGTGCTCTCAATGAAAGCACCAAATGTTTGTGCAAATAATCTCGCAGTAGAATATTCGCTTCTGGATCCTTCAACCTTCGATCTTTCTTCTCTCTCCTTCTCGATTCCTGTAAAAAAGATTGGAGTAAATAGACCACACCCGGGGGGTGTTGGCCAAAGGCCCTCCGATGCCTAAGTTAGTTCGAGTGTTTGTAGGAAAACAATAGCTAAGCAAAGGGTACGGAGTTGTATGTATGGTGTGAACCAGGCGGCCGGAGCCGTGTGTGGTGGCCAGAGCTGTGTGGAGAAAATATGGAGAGTGGACAGGGAGAGAGAACTTCAGGTATTTTCCTCGGGTATCAGGAGTGGGTTTAGATGTACCTTGAATGATGAATGAAGTCATCTATTTATAGGAGCCTCAGGGCTAGGGTTTCGTAGAGATTGAGTCGGACTTGATTACATCCTTTTATTATGATAATATCTCATTAATTATGAGATAATACCCTATAGGACGGCCTTGAACTGACCATACAGCTTCGACAGGAGAAGTCATTCAAAAGTGTGCCAAAGCCCAGCACTCGGGATAAAGGAAAACAGCAAACTACATGCAAACCACCTGCCTCTCGAAGGCTGTTCGTACCCTACCTAGAGGAACGTCACCCAGAAGACCAAGTTTACTCCGATTGTCGGGACAGGATCAACGATTAGCATAAGGAATGACAGTCTTCACCCATCCCGATCCAAGCCAAACTCAACGATCGACGTCTGAAGGTACTCGGACCAAAATCCCCGATGCGCCGAACGTACGACGCGATTGGCCTAGAAGAGACGGATGAATCGGACTATGTTCCAACTTCACCAGGAACCACTATTTCCTACCGATCGGCGGGACCTTCGAAAGAGCGCCGAAGCCACCGATCAAACGAGGAGAACGATCGGCATAAGGAAGGGTACGGGAGGAACTCCAGCCGAACGGTAGATCAAGAAGTACAGGGACACAACACCGGCCAACGGATAGACAATCGGGCGACAGAAACCTTCTGTGACGACCTTCCGCTTGTCGATCCAACCATCCGTCTCCTCCTCCAGAAGATGAACCGGATCGAGGAGGAGCAGAACCAAGCTCGGAGACCAACATGGGGAAAAGTACAACCGGGACCATTCACCAATCGCATCCGAACGTTCAGACACGAAAAAGAGGTCCAAGCACTACAAATATCATTCTACACAGGGGTGGAAGATCCCGTGACTCACATTCATACCTTCCAATCAGCTTTGGGTTGCAAGGGGCTCACCGACGAAGGCCAATGCTTACTGCTCCCCTCCACCCTGGCCGGAGCCGCCCTGAATTGGTTCTACTGATTGGAGCCAGGTATGGTTGACTCTTTTGATCAGTTGAAACAAACCTTCCTCAACCATTTTATGATTCAGACCGATCGCCTGTATTCGGTTGATGACCTTTATACCGTTCGGCAACAAGATGATGAGCCCTTGAGGGAATATGCGGCTAGATTCAGCCACGAATATTCTCGATGTCCTGAAATCGCCGATAGGGCGGCCTACGGTGCTTTCAAGAATGGTCTTCGGTCATCCCAATTTCGTTATCTGGTCCACTGCAGCAACTGGACCACCTATGCCGAACAAATAGAGTGGTGTTCGGTCATCCCAATTTCGCTATCTGGTCCACAGCAGCAACTAGACCACCTATGCCGAACTAATGAAACAGGCAGCTATCCACGCCAAAGGGGTCGATTTCGACACCACCATACAAGACAACGCCTGCCGATCGGCCTTCGACGCAAGCCTACGACCGATTCCCAGCAAATCGGACGACAAATCAGGCCCCTTACCGAACGGCACCCCCTGCCCCCGCTCCGTACGAAGCAAGAAACAAGCGGAATGACAACTTCCAGGATCGGCATGACAGTAATAAAAGGGGCAAGGACTCCGGCAGGCGGAGCAACTTCAGAGACCCGAAGAAGAACCGGCTGGAAGAAACCTTCCCTTTGCTCAACACCATCTACGAGCACGACGTCTTCTGTCAGTACCACCAATACCATGGCCACGATACGGAATCATGCATCGCGCTTCGCAAAATTGTCGAACGCCTCATCAACGAAGAAAAACTGAATCAGTACCTAAGCACAAAAACGGCATCGGACCAACCACCGAATCGGCAGATTAACATGTTCAGCGGAGGGGCGCCCATAGCCAAAGCCAGCAATCGTTCCGTCAAAAATTATGTTCGTACCGTTCGGCACCCCCAGACCCTCAGCGTAGCGAGAAGACGCAACGACAAGATCCGGCAAATCGGTTGGGAACCTATCACTTTTTCTGAAGAGGAAGAAAGAGGCATCATCTTCCCTCACTAAGATCCCATGATCATACGAGCTGAAATTTCTGACTTTGATGTGGGCCGAATCCTCATAGACACCGGCAGTTCGGTCAACGTGCTATTTGCTGATGCTTTCAATTCCCTCGGCATCAATCCTCAGCACCTAAACAAAGACATCACCCCCCTTCTGAGCTTTTCGGGCGACGTGGTTGAACCAATCGGAAGTGTCCAGCTCCCGTTCGCCATCGGCACTATCCCCAGACGAACGGTCATCTGCACTCACTTCCTAGTAGTCGACTGCCCAACGGCATACAATGCCATCATCGGTAGGATAGCGCTCATGAAAATGAAGGCCATGCTGTCACCACACATGTCGGCCAAATACATTTCAGCAACAAAGGAATCGGCAAGGGCAGCGCTTCGCGAAGCATACTCAGTTTCCACCAAGATGACTGTACAGAACGGAAGGGGGACGGACAAACTAGATGATCCCAGGGATGAGGCCGTCACCCCACAAGCGCAACTCATTGAAGATTTAGAATCGGTGACCCTCTCCGAGACACAGCCCGACCGACAGGTTCGAATCGGCATCACCTTAAGTTCGGCACTGCGAGCCGATTTCATTACCTTTTTGCGCGCCAATACAGAAGTCTTCGCCTGTGATCAGTCACAAGCTCAGCATTTGTCCCACCTTCAACCCATCCGACAGAAATGGCGAGCCTACGATACCGAACGGTACGAGGCCATGAGGCTCGAAGTGGATAAACTGCGGACAATCGGCTTCATCCAGGAAGTAACCTACCCAATTTGGTTGGCAAATTCGGTCTTGGTAAAGAAATTGAACAGCGCCTAGAGAATGTGTCAGGATTATACCGATTGAAACAAGGCTTGCCCAAAAGACAGTTTCCCTTTGCCGAGGATCGATCAGCTGGTAGACGCCACGGCAGGCCATGAACTTCTCAGCTTTATGGATGCATACTCAGATTACAACCAAATATTCATGAGCCCTGCCGACCGCGAACATACGACATTCATCACTGACAAGGGACTCTACTGCTACAATGTCATGCCGTTCGGCTTAAAGAATGCCAGAGCAACATACTAACGACTGGTCAACAAAAAATTTTCCGAACTCATTGGCACTTCGATGGAAGTTTATGTGGATTACATGCTCGTCAAAAGCAAAATGGCCGATTGTCATCTCCACAACCTTTCCTTCATGTTCGGCGTCTTGAAGAAATATAACATGCGCCTCAACCAAAACAAATGCGCCTTCGGCGTCTCCTCTGGAAAATTTCTTGGCTTCATGATCAGCCAACGAGGCATTGAGGCCAACCCTAAAAAAATCAAGGCATTACTTAACATGCAGATACCGAGGACACAGAAAGATATCCAAAGTCTCACCGGGCGTGTCGCCGCTCTTGCCCGATTCATATCAAAGGCCACCGATCGATGTGCCCCATTCTTTAAAGCCCTCAAAGGAAGCAAACAGCAGATTGTCTGGACTGCCGAATGCGATCGAGCTTTCTAAGACCTTAAGGCCTACATGAGCAGAGCACCCCCATTAGCTAAACCTCTTCCCAGAGAACAACTCATCCTCTACCTTTCGGTTTCTGCAACGGTACTCAGTTCCGTACTCATCCGCAAGCCGAAAGGCATAGAACTCCCAATCTTGTATACCAGCCATGCCCTACAAGATGCCGAGATTCGGTACCCTCAACTGGAAAAACTCGCCTATGCTCTCGTCCTCTCAGCACGTAAGCTTCGGCCCTACTTTCAGGCTCACACCGTTGCCGTTCTCACCAATCTGCCTCTACGCCAAATACTGCAGAGGCCGGAGACGTCAGGTAGGCTAGTGAAATGGGCCATCGAGCTCAGCGAATTCGACAAACACTATCACCCTCGGCCTGCCGAGATGGGTCAAGTCGTAGCTGATTTCATCTCCGAAATGACAACTACATCACAAGAAGCAGATCCGGACGATCTTGTCTCCGAACCAGCTTCGGTAGCCCCGGTCGCCCACCCGAGCGAAGGAGTATTTAACCCAACAATTCCCCTCTGGACTCTCTATGTGGACTGTTCGTCCAACCGACAAGGAAGCGGGGCCGGCTTAGTATTAAAAGCCCCTGACCAAACGGCAATCGAGTATGCCATCTGTTTCCAATTTCAGGCCTCCAACAACGAAGCCGAGTATGAAGCCCTCTTGGCAGGCCTTCGGCTCGCTAAAGATATGGGAGCCAAACAACTCAAAATCTGCATCGACTCTCAACTTATCGTTAATCAAGTGCTTATCAAATTCAAAGCTAAGGACACTTCGATGGCTGCCTACTTGACACACGCCCGCCGATTGCTCCACCACTTCAGCGCGTATCAAGTTCAGCGGATCCCCAGATCCGAGAACAGCCACGCCGATGCCCTGTCATGCCTTGCATTGGCAATCGACGACAAAGTAGGTTGCCACGTGCCGATCGAAGTCCTTGCTCGGCGTAGCACCACTGAAACCGAGGTACATGCCATTTGGCAGGATCCAAGTTGGATGGATCCAATCCACGCATACCTCGCTAGCGGCACGTTACCGGATGACAAGGCCGAGGCCAAAACTCTCCACCGCCGATCGGCACGATACGTCCTTGTGAATCAGATCCTCTATCGACGTGGTCATTCCTTACCGTTGCTTCGATGCTTGACCCCACAACAAGGAGATTACGTCTTACAAGAGATTCACGAGGGAGCATGCTGGAACCATTCTGGCACCCGGTCCTTGGCCTTCAAAACCGTTCAGCAGGGGTATTATTGGCCAACTCTCCATATCGATGCCACTAAGCTCGTCCAGAACTATGACCACTGCCAGCATTTTGGCTCCGTTCCAAAACTGCTCGCCGAACCACTCACTCCAATTGTCAGCCCGTGGCCCTTCGCTCGGTGGGGTTTGGATCTCATCGGCCCTATGCCACAAGGAAAGGGACAGCTTAAATTCGCCATCATCGCCGTCGACTACTTTACGAAGTGGACCGAAGCCGAAGCATCGGCAACCACCACTGCAACCAAGGTCTAGCGTTTTGTGTGGAAGAACATCATTTGCAGGTTTGGCTCTCCAGCGTATCCACAATCAAACGGCCAGGTAGAAGCCATCAACAAAATCATAAAGAAGATGCTAAAAAAGTAGCTTGGAGCAGCTAAAGGCGCTTGGCCCGATCTGCTCCCAAAGGCATTATGGGCCATCAACACTTCCTACCGACGGTCGACTGGCGAAACACCATTTTCCCTCGCATTCGGTACCGAAGCTGTTGTCCCAGTCGAAATCAACGCACCCACATGCCGAACGGCATCCTATAAGCCGGCGCAAAACAAAACGCTACTTACTCTGAACCTTGATCTCATCGAGGAACACCGATCACAAGCTCAGCTTCGGAATGCCGCACACAAACAACGAACTTCCCGATACTACGATTCGCGCGTCAAACGCCGATCGTTCAAAGTGGGGGACTGGGTCTTGCGCAAAGTCTCTCTTGCCACCAGGGACCCCAAGGAAGGGACCCTCGGCCCTTCATGGAAAGGCCCTTATGAAGTCATCACCATCTGCCGACCTGGCACCTACCGATTACGCGATACCGATGGACAAACCCTCGATCACCCTTGGAACATAGAACACTTGAAGTATTATTACAAGTAACTAAACCTACGGCCAACATATAAAATTACTTTCGGCATTGATGTTCGTCTTCCTATTCTACACATTCAGTAACGCCATAACGGCAGTAAGTGTCTGCCGCGCAAATCGCACGGCCTGGAGTTCCGGGCCAAGGGGATATGCGTTAACACGCGGTTTCCTGCTTTTGGGTGCGGTGCGGTTGTGCGCGGGCGTGCCAGCACGGTCTACCGTGCGTCGATGTGTTGATGAGTGTTGGATGGATAAGTGGTGCGCCTGTTTGAACTCGTCTTCCTAATCAAACGATTGTAGCCGAGAGAGGAAATGGTCTCGGCTGTTAGGTTCATGGCCTGAACTACAAGGCCGTTGAGTGATGGTGTTGGTGGTGGGTTTTGGGCGGTGCTCCGGCGCGCTGCTCAGGGAGCGACGGTCGTGTGATATATGGGGTGAGTGAACGAACAACAAGGATGGTGCTCCGGTGCCTTGAAAATCAAGGGTCGTATGATATATTGATGAATGGATTTTCCTTACAATCTAACACTACTCCTAGGAAAGCAAGTAAAGATATTGAAAGTGTATTACAGGAAAAAATTAGTTGCTCCGTGGGAGGCTTTGTTTTGGTGTTGAACCCTTTGAATGTAGCTCGAGTCTTGTATTTATAGGAAGAGCCTCTGGAGGAGTAATCGAGGCTAAAAATTTGCATGGTGGAGCTTGATTGGAGCAAGTGGGCAGTCCAATCGACATTTGGGATCGCGAAGTATGGTGGTGTGACCCCAGAAATCCCGGTGAATCTCGGCCGCCACTCTTGATCGTGGGGTCTGAGCTTCTGGCCGTGGAGACGCATTTATGGCCTGGATAGCTGGTGAACCAATATCTCAGGCTGTCAGAATTCTTGTGAGAATGTCCACGTCTAATCACTTTGATCCTCATCACCAAATCCTAACTTCAGTCACTTCCACCTTCCCTCATGCATTAAATGCTTCTTTGTGGCCAGTGGGTTTGCTGCATTAAACAGGCACTACTTCATTAAATGAAGCCTGGGACCCTGCTGTCACGTGATGATTTGCCTTTAATGCCTTAGCCGTGATTTTGTTCGTCCTCGGCCTCGGCCTGCGCTTGAGGCCGAGATGATCATGCCTTAGCATTTCTTCTTTTGTCTTTAGGAAGGCGAAGTACCCTATCGAAACGCTGCGTTTCAGTTTTTACGAACAAGTGCCAGGGCCGAGAGAAGGGGCTCCTTCGGCCAGCTTATGGCCGTGATTTATTAGGCACAAACATACGGTACCTATAACATAATACCTACGGCATGCATACTTGTATTAGAATATGAAACTTCAAACACATGAACCGAATCAAAATAAACTTCAGGCACACCAGCTGAAGTTGGTATAGGATGACCCTGCTCTTCCCCGCTGCTGGAGTCGGTCTCATCGGCTAAATCGACGTCGGCATCCTCCTCCTTATAGGCCTCCACCATTTCCTCGGTGACACCCTCAGGCAACAGAGGCGGATCCTGGAGGAAGTTCAGGTTCATCTTCGTGTCAGTGTTATACCGTTTTAAACGGTAGACAAGGTCGTCACACTGTTCCATGACTTCCTTGTCCACCAGCAGCGTGAACTCCTCCGAGGATCAGTAGTCAGCTAAAGCTTTCGCTTTAGCCTCCTCCACCTCCTTCGCCCGTGCCCGTTCGGCCGCGTCCATGGCCACATCTACCGTTGCCTTAGCCTCTTGAGCCTCCACCACTGCCAACTCAGCAGCAGCCAGCTTCGATGAGAGCTCCGCGATCTTCACCGCGTTCTCCTCGGCATGACGATCGGTATCCTGGATAAGCTTCCCGGCTTCGGCAATTTTCGCTCGACTTTCCTCGAACTTCTTCTGGTACCGTTCGGCATTATTTATAGCTCGCTTCACGCAAAGCCACATCTCCATATCAGCCTGCAAGACACCGAAAGTTTAGTACATGCCGAACCCACAAACACCACAACACTTACCGCAGCCTGAAGCCGGAAAGCTCGACCGGCCTGATCACGCACTGTCTTCGCCTGCAGCTGATCCAGTTCCGTGAGCTCAATCTGCGCCCCGTCGATCATACAGTTCACGAACGACATGACCCTTCCTCATCGCCAGTGATCAGAGTGGCCGTACCCTCGTCCAGCCCCCTCGGTTTCTTGGGCAGAGGCGTCACGTCAAGGGCACCCTCGATTTGCCTCTTCCCCGTCACCTGCTGATGGACCTCACGAACGGTATCGGCCTCCGCCACCCTCTTCTCCCTTCGGTGATCGGCAACGGTCACATCATCCCCCGACGCTCCTCCGGCAATGCTTCCTCTTCGATCTAGAGGATCCACCCTTCTTTTTCTGCTTAGGCGCACGAGTCTCCAACCGCCTCCTAGTCGCCTCATTCATCGGCCTTCCCCCTGCCACTGCATAAGCAAACAAGTCAATACGAAACGGCATACCAAAAAAAAACAAAGGTTGCTGAACGGCATCACTTACTCTTTTTCCTCTCTTCTTCCTCTTGTTTCTCCTTCTCCCTTCGAGCGTGCTCGACTCCGGTGATCAAGCCTGCCTTATGAAGGTTAGCGAAGTCTAGCAGGTCCTTCCACAAACGATCACCTTCGGCAATCTTCTCCCGCACCCGCTCGATCGCCTCAATGTCTCTTGTTTGTACCATGTCTGACCCTCCGTTCATACAGCGACACGTGGATCTTAGAAGCTTACCCAAGCGCCCAAGGCTCCGAACAATCAACATCGGCTACCGATGGTATTGTCTCAAGTGGGCAAAAGGTCGCTACAAGCCCAACATAGGCTACAATCGATACCTCCTACCGATTCTGCAGAATCAACCTCGAAGCACCCGCCCGAAATATCTAAGGACTTGTGTCGACCTCATAGGGCCCTCCCACGAGTCCCACATCGAAAATGAGTACCAAGAGCATTCAAAATGCCCTCTATAAATAGGCCCCTTCACTGCAATACAGGGGTAAGACTTTTCAGCTTGACTTTTATACTTTTATATGGTCAACAGCAAGAGCTCTTAGAAACAAACTTACTTTGGCATCGGAGGGTCTTAGGTTGGTTCCACACCGATTCCATAGACCTCACGAGTCTCAACTCTCTTCTATTCAGGATCTGCATCCAAGGACAAGAAGAATCTGCATCTATCATTCAATCGATCTGCTAAATCGTCCTCACCACTTGTAAGTTGCACTCATCTCTATCTGTTCAGTTTTAGTGCCAACATCTCTCTTCGACGCAGTAGGCCGTTTCAAGGACACTGAAATAAAAGAGAACATAGGTTAGCTTCGACGGAAAATCTATAAAATGTTAAGCAACATCAAATTACCGAATGACACTCCGCTGCCTACCGACTGTTTGGAACATCGTGGGAATGTGCCTATCAACTATAACCCCCGGAGCCGATTCCCAATCTCCGGACACCAACACCCGACGCTTACGCCAAGTCTTCTGGGAGCTCGGCACCCCAACTACAAAATGCCCCTTCTGACCGGCGGCCAAGCAGTTCGACTGCACCCACCCCCCCTTATCAGCACTCTTCGCCCTCGTCACGCTATACAGATTCGCGACCTGCTCGTAGCTCGGCTCGCCCTCACCAGCTATGCCGAAGGCTGTGATCATCCCAAGCAGCGTGATCCAAAAGTTCAGATTAAACTGCCCTGGCGCATAGCCAATCTGAGCCAAGATCTTTTGCACCAAATGCCTCAACGGCAGCCGTAGCCTGTGCTTGAAAACATCGGTGAAAAAGCAAACCTCAGTCTCAGGATTGCTCAAAGACTCCAACGGCGCCGGAATCCGCATCTTCACAGAATCCGGTATGTTGTACAGAGCCCGAATCTTGGCTAGCTCACCCACGGTCAGCACATTCGGCTCCAGATGGTCTACTCCGAAGATCGGACCCGTCGGCTGTTGCATTCCTAAAAGGACACAAATTAATGTGCAAACAACCAATTAAAAATACCCGCAAGTGCACGAATCTATCGAAGTATAGATTATGTAAGTACGGGGTCGATCCCACGAAGAACTTGTCGGCTTCCTATAAGTTCTAATTTGAGTACGTAAAGAACACTTATTTAACACACCACAAATGCACAAATGCAAAATGGAAACTAGAAATGAATAAAGAAGTGTAAAAGAAATGGAACAACACAAGAAAACTAAAGAAAAACACAAACAGCATTTTCTATCACCATTTTATCACATATTTATCACCTGTGAACAGTGCCGTAAAAGAAGAAGAGAAAGAGTTGGGGAAAAACACACAACAGAGAAAAGAAAGAACAAAAGAAAAGAAAGTTCAAATGGCTTCTTCCTACCCATTCTCGCTGGATCTCAACCTAGCTCCACCGACTCAGACTCGGGGCCAAGCAGTGGCACCAGTGTGGATG